GTAATAACTATTTCTAGGTGATCTCAGGGGGCTGTAATAACTATTCTAGGTGATCTCAGGGGGCTGTAATAACTATTTCTAGGTGATCTCAGGGGGCTGTAATAACTATTTCTAGGTGATCTCAGGGGGCTGTAATAACTATTTCTAGGTGATTCAGGGGGCTGTAATAACTATTTCTAGGTGATCTCAGGGGGCTGTAATAACTATTTCTAGGTGATCGCTCTTTTTTTGTTTTTTGGGGGGCTGTAATAAACTATTTCTCGGTGATCTCGGGGGGCTGTAATAACTATTTCTAGGTGATCTCGGGGGGGGCTGTAATAACTATTCTAGGTGATCTCGGGGGCTGTAATAACTATTTCTAGGTGATCTCGGGGGGCTGTAATAACTATTTCTAGGTGATCTCGGGGGGCTGTAATAACTATTTCTAGGTGATCTCAGGGGGCTGTAATAACTATTTCTAGGTGATCTCAGGGGGCTGTAATAACTATTTCTAGGTGATCTCAGGGGGCTGTAATAACTATTTCTAGGTGATCTCAGGGGGCTGTAATAACTATTTCTAGGTGATCTCAGGGGGCTGTAATAACTATTTCTAGGTGATCTCGGGGGGCTGTAATAACTATTTCTAGGTGATCTCGGGGGGCTGTAATAACGATTTCTAGGTGATCTCGGGGGGCTGTAATAACGATTTCTAGGTGATCTCAGGGGGGCTGTAATAACTATTTCTAGGTGATCTCGGGGGGGCTGTAATAACTATTTCTAGGTGATCTCGGGGGGCTGTAATAACTATTTCTAGGTGATCTCAGGGGGCTGTAATAACTATTTCTAGGTGATCTCGGGGGGCTGTAATAACTATTTCTAGGTGATCTCAGGGGGCTGTAATAACTATTTCTAGGTGATCTCAGGGGGCTGTAATAACTATTTCTAGGTGATCTCAGGGGGCTGTAATAACTATTTCTAGGTGATCTCGGGGGGCTGTAATAAACTATTTCTAGGTGATCTCGGGGGGCTGTAATAAACTATTTCTAGGTGATCTCAGGGGGCTGTAATAACTATTTCTAGGTGATCTCAGGGGGCTGTAATAACTATTTCTAGGTGATCTCAGGGGGCTGTAATAACTATTTCTAGGTGATCTCGGGGGGCTGTAATAACTATTTCTAGGTGACCTCAGGGGGCTGTAATAACTATTTCTAGGGGATCTCGGGGGGCTGTAATAACTATTTCTAGGTGATCTCGGGGGGCTGTAATAACTATTTCTAGGTGATCTCAGGGGGCTGTAATAACTATTTCTAGGTGATCTCAGGGGGCTGTAATAACTATTTCTAGGTGATCTCGGGGGGCTGTAATAACTATTTCTAGGTGTTCTCAGGGGGCTGTAATAACTATTTCTAGGTGATCTCGGGGGGCTGTAATAACTATTTCTAGGTGATCTCGGGGGGCTGTAATAACTATTTCTAGGTGATCTCGGGGGGCTGTAATAACTATTTCTAGGTGATCTCAGGGGGCTGTAATAACTATTTCTAGGTGATCTCGGGGGGCTGTAATAACTATTTCTAGGTGATCTCAGGGGGCTGTAATAACTATTTCTAGGTGATCTCAGGGGGCTGTAATAACTATTTCTAGGTGATCTCAGGTGGGAAAAAGCAAACAACGGCCAGTAAGAGAACTACCAAATAACAACCTACACGCCAATCACCAAACACTTTTGGGAACGGACAGAACAATTTTATGTCTATCCACTGCGATAAAAAGGACAATGTCGGAGTTTAATTCAATATGAGAAAGCTGCGAAATGGAGAGTTGAAAACGTTTGGGAAAGATGTGGTAAAACAGGATAGCAGTGCCTATGCTATGTGTGATGATTGTGAGGCGCCATACAAATTCGATAGTCACAAGACGGGGACTTCAAATAGTCTCATGGTGACGTCAAGGGAATTGTAGGCTAGTGTTCAGATGGGTTAAATGGAAACTGAAATCTGGACACTATAACTATATCAGCCCTGTTTTGGTAAACAGCTGAGGGACGGGGCTGGAGAAATGGAACCACTCTCAAACGCATAGACGTAGCTATGGATACAAGGACTGACCATCCATGATATCAACACTATAGTTTGAACCGTGTTTTGAGGCTGTACACTGTTTGTGTACATTTACATTGTTTACAAACACTGGAGTAAAACAAGCTTCCATTTTGGGTTCTGATGGGGTACGACAGATGACCTAACCTCACGAGGCATTTATAAGTTAGATTCTTCAAGAATCAATGAGTATATATCATTCATGTAGTCCAAAAATGGATGTAGCGACTACGGATTCTACCTTTTAAAGACATGCTCTGGAACATTAGTGAAAAGTCTTTTGATTTTTTTTGTCCCGCTTTGTGCTGGATGAGTCATTATGAAGTTCATACATCATTTATGAGCAGAATTACTGTTTTACCTCAATTAGCCCGGAAATCCCTAGTTTGAAAGTGACTTTCCTGGTAGCTGTGCGGCACCATTTTCCCCCACACGTGGGCCAGCACCCTAGCAATTTGAGTTTCAGCCAATGAGCTTCAGCCCCTCGCCATTTGAGTAACTGCTAGCAAGATGCACACACAGCCAGAGGGAGAGAGAGAGAGAGGCGCGCACCTTGATTCAGTGTTATGTAGCTACATTTGAAATTGTGTTTTTTCCATTGGATGAAAGCACAGACACAGAGCTACAAAATGGTATATCATACACTGCATTTAAGGGAACAATGGGAAAGTAATTCTGCTTTGAAAGTTGATACACTTGTAATCTCACTTTTGAGTAAATGGCTTTTGAATGTTTTTGTACCTACTGAAGAGCTCTTCTTTGTCTACACTCATTCATCATCGTTCACACCCTCTTAAGCTTTAGCCCCACCCCATCTCGTTTCGCTCTCGGGGCGTTCAGAGCGCACACTGGACGCTCTGGCCGATGAGTTGGGTTGATCTAAGCATTCTGACCTCACAACGGCAGTCAAGCACCCAAGCTAACTGGCTAACGTTGGCTAGCTTGCTAGCTACTTCCAGACACAAAATTGGGATTATGGTTCATTGTTTACCTCTGGATAACATGGAAACAGCCTAACCAGCACCCCACTGACCATTTTACTCGCCCTAGCAGAGCTGCTTAGGCTGTTTTCATGTTATCCAGAGCGTTGGTTACCGTAACTGTGCTGCAGGCAACAATTTAATTACGCTTTTTTGCCGACGTTTACTGACACCGGCCATATTCAACGGGTGTTGTGCGTTCGTAATTTCATCAGTTATTCTGCACTCTGGCATACTCAGGCTGAATTTACGAATGCACCTGAAATGGTTACTTGCATAGTGTAGTCTTTTGTTAAGACATGTAGCTAGCTAGGTAAACAATTATCCTACCTAGGTAAATATGTCAAATCATACATGTAACGTTAGCTAGCTAGTTAAACAATTAACCATAATCCCAAATCATGACGTTACTACCCTGCATGAATCTGCAGGTAGCTAACCAACCAGGTTCAATGTTAGAAAGCAAATGGCTCTGAGATACGAATAATAAGAGCATACACGTAACGTTAGCTAGCGAGCTAACGGTACACTTTAACTTGAAATGAAACCACTTACAGTCAAAATTAGAAACGTGTAATATCTGAAAATGTAGCTAGCTAGACTATCTTACCCGTATACATGGATGGACGTGTCTCCCTCTCTGTCACGGATGCCATGGTTGCCCTTCGTTTGAAGATGTAATCCGGAGACCGGTCTTTTTCTGTGGTTTAACCAACTAGGCTCATAATTTTAACAATTGTATTCGTATTTACAGATGGCATACAAGTTTGTTATTAAGGCACATGACAGTTCACATATTCCAGAAGGCATTTCTGCCAAAAATCGCATTTTGATAAAACATTTAAATGTTTACATTCAAATGGCTCTCCTGTGAAGTAGTGACCCATGACATACGCCTAGTTTCCTGAAACGAGTCACAAATGTGATGTAATACGCAATTGTCGGGGACCACTTTTGGCTTGTGAGCGCAAATTTTAGAACTACTGACTAAAAAGAACACAAAAGTACCGGAGAATCTCTTACATGGGATTAGCAACACAACATGACTAGGAGACAGTAGCAGATTAGCAACACAACATGACTAGGAGACAGTAGCAGATTAGCAACACAACATGACTAGGAGACAGTAGCAGATTAGCAACACAACATGACTAGGAGACAGTAGCAGATTAGCAACACAACATGACTAGGAGACAGCAGCAGATTAGCAACACAACATGACTAGGAGACAGCAGCAGATTAGCAACACAACATGACTAGGAGACCTGACACATAGCTAACCAAATAGACTGCAGGCAGGGCTGGAGACAAACTGAGCCAGTCTCAGCACTAGACCTGGCTTCAAATACTATTTGAAATATTTTCAAATAGGCTACTTAAGCTGTGCTTGATTGGGCTTGTCTGGCGCGATGGATCCAATAGATTTCGAATAGTGTCTGAATCGTGGTCTGCTCTGCTCAGCAGCCCAGTAGAGGCCTCTAGACTGTGGGCTCTGTAGCAGCTCTCCCCCCTCCTCTGGTACTCGTCTGTCAGGGAAGAGCCCAGCAGAGGCCTCTAGACTGTGGGCTCTGTAGCAGCTCTCCCCCCTCCTCTGGTACTCGTCTGTCAGGGAAGAGCCCAGTAGTATGCTGCACAAAGAAAGCCTATAGAACTGTTTTGTGTTCCAAATGGCACCCTATTCCCTATATAGTGCACTACTTTTGACCAGAGCCCAGCTCCTGACAGAAATGTGATCTTATCGTATTTAATTATTACCCAGTCATTCATGTCAGTTTCCCCTGTCTGTCTTCTGTCTTCACAGCTTTTCTGAAACACTGGGGTTGTTGGTGTGGCTGAATTTTCCCTGGATTTGATTGGTAAATTCAGAAGACTGAAGCCCAGGCTCACAGTCTACCTTTCACGGAGGCCCAGCCGTGAGAGGACTGAGGAAGGCACGTGGCGAATCATGACCGCGGACAAAGACAAGCCAGACAGGGAGAAGGACAGGGACAGAGACCGAGACCGGGAGCGGGACAGAGACCGAGACAGGGAGCGGGACAGAGACAGGGACAAGAGGGACAAAGCCTCCAGGGAGAGCGAGAGCTCTCGGCCGCGCCGCAGCTGCACGCTGGAGGGCGGAGCTAAGAACTACGCCGAGAGCGAGGACGAGGATAATGAGAACAGGGGAGTGGCCGGGGGAGTAGGCGGGGTCAACATGGGGATGGGGGAGGAGTCAGGGAAGAAGGGAAAGAAGAAGATGATTAAGAAGAAGTCGAGGTATGAACGGATGGAGAACGGAGAGATCACTTCCTTCATTACTGAAGACGACGTTGTTTACAGACCTGGCGGTAAGTTTAATTAATTATTATTACGTTTTACGTCTCCATCTCTTTGGCAACAAATATCATCATGTAGTGTTTGCTTTTCTCCTGAAAGACGCCTCAGGCCAAGATAATACAACCTAGGTCTGTAGAGAAATATATGTTTTTGTCAACAGACTTGCTGTTACGTCAAAACAATACTTTATTGTTCAATGCCAATTGGAAATGTGTATTTTCGACATACATTGTTTCTAATTCCCCTTTTATCTAATTGGTAGCAGACAAGTTTGAGACGCATTCCTCAAATCTAGCCACATTCCAGAAAGCCACATTCCCCCTTTTAAAATATCAGACTAGAGAATTCTACACTTAATATCTTTGTTTTCTGATACTTTTTTATATTAATGCAATGATTATTATACCCAGGGTCGGGCTAAAGGTTAAACTACAAAGCAGGATCAATGAGTTAGCCAGCTAACTTTGATAAACAAAGTTCTGGTTCGTTAGGAAAGCTAAACTAAGATGTGTTTTTGGTTGTTGGGTCAATCAGACATGCCTATTTCAAGATTATCTTTTTATAAAAACAATACAATTAGTTATTTCAGAATATTTAGGCAAGTTAGCTGGCTAAGTCATTGATCTTGCTTTGTAGCATACCGCTCTTTGTAGCATACCCCTCTTTGTAGCATACCCCTCTTTGTAGCATACCCCTTTTTGTAGCATACCCCTAGAAATCTGTATTTATATTAAAAAAAATAAAAATAAGCCTAGTTTGCTTTGTGATGTCCTGCTGCAGTTCAGTCTAAGCTACACAGTTGAATGAACAGTTTACCACACTCCATTTGCTCTGATTAGCTTGTAGGTCTACTGGTTTTGGTCTTCAATAATAATCAGATTTTCACTAGAATCAGAATACCTCTCCAGACGACAGCATGTAGGCTAATTTTGATCTATCAGTTCGAGAAGTCTCTGGCTCAGTTGCCTTTTAATGTTTAGTCATTAAACAAAAATAAATTATGATTAAGTCAATGACCTTAATAAAAGCAAAGAAATGTGATAACGATATAGCCAGATTTATTAGTGATGGGGGGAAATTCCTACAGTTACATATTGCAATCTTATTTTTGGACGAGGGCGGCAGGTAGCTTAGTGGGTAAGAGCGCTGTGCCAGTAACCGAAAGGTCGCTGGTTCTAATCCCCGAGCCGACTAGGTGAAAAATCTGTCGATGTGCCCTTGAGCAAGGCACTTAACCCTAATTGCTCCTATAAGTCGCTCTGGATAAGAGCGTCTGCTAAATGACAAAAAATGTAAATGTAAAAAATGTTATATCGATATTTGACTCAAAATGATCAAATTAAAATAAAATCCAAAACTCTGGTAGTTTGCATCCTATAGCTGTTACAATAAATAGTGAGCTGACGTGTTTTCAACACTTTTATTTCCATGACTGATCAAAACTCATTTTCTAATGCTCTCTCGTCTCTGCAGCAGACGTGTAGGAAGCAAATATGTTTGGAACATGAAATCACAATAACATCGCAGTATCGAATCGTAACACATATAGAATTGTGAGAATCACAATACTTATCGTATCAGCACCTAAGTATGGCGATAGTATCGTGTTGGGGGGGGGGCCCTGGTCAAAAGTAGGACACTATATATAGGGAATAGGGTGCTATTTGATACAGAGCTTCTTCACCTGCTGTTTCTAAATTGGTTGAACATCAAACTTAGGAGGGGGGGGGGGGGGGGGGGATGTCCAAACCCGGCTCTCTGTCTGTGCTGTGGGAGGGAGGGAGGGAGGGAGGGAGGGAGAGCGAGAGCGAGAGCCTGCTCTGCAGCGGTTTCCTCTCTGTTACAGCAGGTTCTGGCTGGCTCAGCTATCTGAACCCATCAACAATGGCATGTCTTTCATTTATCTGGCAGGAAGGAAAAGGTCAAGTAGCCGACGGTCGCTGCCGTGCTTAGTTATTTAATATGAACACATGCAATTATTACAGCCAATGTGTTATTGTTCCCCTCACCCCCATTCCCCTTTTGACGGCTAAAGACTCAAGAGATGTACAGTGCATTCGGAAAGTATTCAGACCCCTTGACTTTTACCACATTTTGTTTAGTTACAGCCTTATTCTAAAATTGATTAAATTAAATTTTTCCTCATCAATCTACACACAATACCCCACAATGAAAGAGAGAACTGGTTTTTTGAATTTCTTGCACATTTGTTACAAATAAAGAAAAGCAATACCTTTACGTACGTATTCAGACCCATGCTATGAGACTCGAAATTGAGCTCAGGTGCATCCTGTTTCCATTGAACATCCTTGAGATGTTTCTACAACTTGATTGGAGTCCACCTGTGGTAAATTCAATTGATTGGACATGATTTGGAAAGGCACACACCTGTCTATATAAGGTCCCACAGTTGACAGTGCATGTCAGAGCAAGACCAAGACATGAGGTCGAAGGAATTGTCCGAAGAGCTCCGAGACAGGATTGTGTCGAGGCACAGATCTGGGGAAGGATTCCAAAAAATGTCTGCGGCATTGAAGGTCCCCAAGAACACAGGGCCTCCATCATTCTTAAATGGAGAAGTTTGGAACCACCAAGACTCTTCCTAGAGCTGGCCGCCCGGTCAAACTGAGCAATAGGTGAAGGGCCTTGGTCAGGGAGGTGACTAAGAACCTGATGGTCACTCTGACAGAGCTCTAGAGTTCCTCTGTGGAGATGGGAGAACCTTCCAGAAGGACAACCATCTCTGCAGCACTCCACCAATCAGGCCTTTATGGTAGAGTGGCCAGACGGAAGCCACTCCTCAGTAAAAGGCACATGACAGCACACTTGGAGTTTGCCAAAAGGCATCTAAAGGACTCTCAGACCATGAGAAACAAGATTCTCTGTTCTGATGAAACCAAGATTGAACTATTTGGCCTAAATGCCAAGCGTCACGTCTGGAGGAAACCTGGCAGCATCATGCTGTGGGGATGTTTTTCAGCGGCAGGGACTGGGAGACTAGTCAGAATCAAGGGAAAGATGAACGGAGCAAAGTACAGAGAAATCCTTGATGAAAACCTGCTCCAGAGCACTCAGGACCTCAGACTGGGGCGAAGGTTCACCTTCCAACAGGACAACGACCCTAAGCACACAGCCAAGACAACGCAGGAGTGGCTTCGGGACAAGTCTCTGAATGTTCTTGAGTGGCCCAGCCAGAGCCCGGAATTGAACCCGATCGAACATCTCTGGAGAGACCTGAAAATAGCTGTGCAGCGATGCTCCCCATCCAACCTGACAGAGCTTGAGAGGATCTGCAGAGAAGAATGGGAGAAACTCCCCAAATACGGGTGTGCCAAGCTTGTAGCGTCATACCAAAGAAGACTCGGAGGCTGTAATCACTGCCAAAGGTGCTTCAACAAAGTACTGAGTAAAGGGTCTGAATACTTATGTAAATAGGTAATAAATTAGAAAAATGGTATAACCTGTTTTTGCTTTGTCATTATGGGGTATTGTGTGTAGATTGATTGAGGAAAATGTTTTATTTAATCAATTTTAGAATAAGGCTGTAACGTAACAAAATGTGGAAAGAAGGGAAGGGGTCTGAATACTTTCCCAATGCACTGTAGTGTAGTATGGAAGTATTACCCAGTTTCCCCTGTCTGTCTCCTGTATTTAACGTGGTACAGTTATACACACACCTTACCATCCCTGGGGAATAATCTGGTTCACAGCATTATCTCTCTGTTAGGATCAGGAAGTCCTTGAAAAAGCCATCACTCTCTCCGTCAGAGAGAAGCCTTGTTCCTTGACAGGGACTCCATTGAAACATAACACACACACACACACACACACACAACATTGACTCCATTGAACCTTTTCTTTCTCTGCATTTAATGTTTAATAGAGAGAGAGGGAGCGGAGAGAGAGAGAGAGAGAGAGGAGGGAGGGAGCAGAGAGAGAGGAAGAGAGGGAGGAAGCAGAGGAGAGCAGAGAGAGGGAGAGGGAGGAGGAGGGAGGGAGAGAGGGGAGGGAGAGAGGGAGGGAGGGAGGGGAGAGAGAGCGAGGGAGAGGGAGGAGCGAGGGAGGGAGAGGGAGGGAGACAGAGAGAGAGGGGAAGGGGAGGGATTTTTGGGCGCCTTTCTTGATCTCTCTCTGGGGAGGGAAGCAGAGAGAGGGAGGAGAGAGAGAGGGAGGGAGCGAGAGAGAGGGGGAGGGAGCAGAGCAGAGAGGGATGGACGGGGGAGGAGCAGAGAGAGGGAGGAGAGGAGAGCAGAGAGAGAGGGGGGGAGAGAGGAGGGAGGAGCGAGAGAGAAGGAGCGAGCAGAGAGAGAGAGAGGGAAAGAGAGCGGGGGGAGGGACAGAGAGAGGAGGAGCAGAGGATGGAGAGAGGGAGCAGGGAGGAGAGAGAGGGAGGGAGGGAGGAGAGAGAGAGAGAGAGAGGGAGCAGGGAGATGGAGCAGAGCTGAGCTCACTGCTGCTTTGTCTCCTGTTCAACCGTGCAGACAGTCAGTCACTTCAATGAAACATTCACAAGACAAAAACAAAGTCACAGGTTTTCTTTCTGCCAGAGATAATATTTATATATTCCAAGACAGTGAACATAAACGAGCAGCAGTTCTGTTAAGATATTTATGTTTCCTGCTTTGAAACTGTCTCCTCCAATGAGTATTGTAGTGAACCCTGACAGGACTGAAGACCTTTACACACACATACACACGTCTATTTTACTATCCTTGGGATGGTGTTCCTTGGCTTGCAAGACCCGCCTTTTTCCTCCAACATAACGATGGTCATTATGGCCAAACAGTTATATTTTTGTTTCATCAGACCAGAGGACATTTCTCCAAAAAGTACGATCTTTGTCCTCATGTGCAGTTGCAAACCGTAGTATGGCTTTTTTATGGCGGTTTTGGAGCAGTGGCTTCTTCCTTGCTGAGCGGCCTTTCAGGATATGTCGATATAGGACTCGTTTTACTGTGTATATAGATACTTTTGTACCTGTTTCCTCACACGGTCCTTTGCTGTTGTTCTGGGATTGATTTGCACTTTTCGCACAAAGTACGTTCATCTCTAGGAGACAGAACGCATCTCCATCCTGAGCGGTATGACGGCTGCGTGGTCCCATGGTGTTTATACTTGCATACTATTGTTTGTACAGATTAACGTGGTAACTTCAGGCGTTTGGAAATTGCTCCCAAGGATGAACCAGACTTGTGGAGGCTGATTTTCTTTTGATTTTCCCATGATGTCAAGCAAAGAGGCACTGAGTTTGAAGGTAGGCCTTGAAATACATCTACAGGTACACCTCCAATTGACTCAAATGATGTCAATTAGCCTATCAGACGCTTCTAAAGCCATGACATCATTTTCTGGAATTTCCCAAGCTGTTTAAAGGCACAGTCAACTTTAGTGTATGTAAACTTCTGACCCAGTGGAATTGTGATACAATGCATGCTTATCCACGTTTTGACAACTGAATGGGAACTTCACTTGCCTGCCCGCCCATTTGATCGATGCCAAATACATTCGATTGACAACTAAGAGATATGCTAACTGTGGATCACAGTCGTTCAAGTTCAGCATAGCTAGCTAGCGAAGCGATTTACATTTATTGCTAGAAATGACACCTGCAGCATCTCTAGCTGTAGCCGCGGTTAAACGATATGGGGGAAAAGGTCGGTCACTCACTCCCACTCCTCCAATGACATGACATCCTCCCAGCAGCTAGCTAGCTAGCTAACGTTAGGCTCCGTGTTTTAGCTAAATAAACAGTTAGCTACATAAATAGATGTGCAACTGCTACCCAAACTGGCCGTTGTTTTTATTCGAAAAAATATGTCCCTTTTATAATGTCCACTTATGTACATAGGATCCTTTTTATATATATAGCATTTTATCATATTAAAACAAGAGATAAAACAATATTTGTCCCAGCCTTTGCTGCTATGCTTGCAGATCTGCATAATATGCTACGACCCCCTAATCAAAAAGTATTTAATAACTCCAAATCACATAAACATATATAGGTTGTTGTAACGTTAAACGTTTTATTTTTATTTACACTGCATGGCTCACCGGTGCGGTTGAATGCAGCATTGCTGTCTGGTGCACTCAACATGTCTTGCATAAGTAATAATAATAATTGTAAAGTGGTTATCCCACTGGCTATAAGGTGAATGCACCAATTTGTAAGTTCTCTGGATAAGAGCGTCTGCTAAATGACGTAAATGTTGTAGTTGAGTGGCCCAGCCTGTGCTGTATCAGGCCTTCCTCCTTTGTTGCAGGTTTCGTTTTTTCATTATTTAATTGTCAAGCTTTAAAAACCAAAAGCCAGACTGCAACATTTTAGTAGCCAGGACAATGTGGCATGTGTCTGTACCCTCTCCCTCCGCGGCGCGCTGTAAACGGGTACCCTCTCCCTCCGCGGCGCGCTGTAAACGGGTACCCTCTCCCTCCGCGGCGCGCTGTAAACGGGTACCCTCTCCCTCCGCGGCGCGCTGTAAACGGGTACCCTCTCCCTCCGCGGCGCGCTGTAAACGGGTACCCTCTCCCTCCGCGGCGCGCTGTAAACGGGTACCCTCTCCCTCCGCTGCGCGCTGTAAACGGGTACCCTCTCCCTCCGCGCCGCGCTGTAAACGGGTACACTCTCCCTCCGCGGCGCGCTGTAAACGGGTACACTCTCCCTCCGCGGCGCGCTGTAAACGGGTACCCTCTCCCTCCGCGGCGCGCTGTAAAACGGGTACCCTCTCCCTCCGGCGCGCTGTAAACGGGTACCCTCTCCCTCCCGCGGCGCGCTGTAAACGGGTACCCTCTCCCTCCGCGGCGCGCTGTGGAACGGGTACCCTCTCCCTCCGCGGCGCGCTGTAAACGGGTACCCTCTCCCTCCGCGGCGCGCTGTAAACGGGTACCCTCTCCCTCCGCGGCGCGCTGTAAACGGGTACCCTCTCCCTCCGCGGCGCGCTGTAAACGGGTACCCTCTCCCTCCGCGGCGCGCTGTAAACGGGACTGTGGCATGTGTCTGTACCCTCTCCCTCCGCGGCGCGCTGTAAACGGGTACACTCTCCCTCCGCGGCGCGCTGTAAACGTAAAAAAGTAAAAAGTAAAAAATCACCGGCGCGAGCGCATCAGACTGTACTTTCATAAAGTAGATGACTCAACTGTTGACTCATTTTATACTTGCGTGTCCTATTCGTCCCGCGGGACGTGTGTTTTGACACGTATGCTAGTCTGTTAGCCACGTTGTGACTGACTTGTGATCGTTGCCCTTGCTAGTTTGATTCTATTGACATTCCCAGCTTTAGTTACAGTCGTCCGTTTTTTTGTTCAAAGTATTGAGTCATTGAAACATTTACATTACATTTACATTTTAGTCATTTAGCAGACGCTCTTATCCAGAGCGACTTACAGGAGCAGTTAGGGTTAAGTGCCTTGCTCAAGGGCACATTTACGTCATTTAGCAGACGCTCTTATCCAGAGCGACTCACAAATTGGTGTATTCACCCAATAGCCAGTGGGATAACCACTTTACAAATTTTTTTTTGGGGGGGGGGGGGGGGGGTAGAAGGATTACTTTATCCTATCCCAGGTATTCCTTAAAGAGGTGGGGTTTCAAATGTCTCCGGAAGGTGGTGAGTGACTCCGCTGTCCTGGCGTCGTGAGGGAGCTTGTTCCACCATTGGGGTGCCAGAGCAGCGAACAGTTTTGACTGGGCTGAGCGGGAACTATGCTTCCGCAGAGGAAGGGGAGCCAGCAGGCCAGAGGTGGATGAACGCAATGCCCTCGTTTGGGTGTAGGGACTGATCAGAGCCCGAAGGTACAGAGGTGCCGTTCCCCTCACTGCTCCATAGGCAAGCACCATGGTCTTGTAACGGATGCAAGCTTCAACTGGAAGCCAGTGGAGTGTGCGGAGGAGGGGGGTGACGTGAGAGAAACCGAAACAGTGCATCCAGAATGGTTGGCGGCAAGAAACACTGTACCAGGCCAGCTATGATTTACACCCTGATAGCAATATTTTTGGGAGTACCAAGAAATGCATTGGTGAATTATATGAATCATGCAGTGAACTGCATCCATCTATTCTGCCAACCATGTCTTAGTGTACGTCATGGAATTTAGAATTTTAAAACCTCTTATAAAGCTGGTTTTGAAGCATAAACTGGGAATTTTATATTTTTTTACTGATATTATGAATCTGTTCGTTTCATATCTGCGAACTAGTTAAATGCTGTCAGTTCCAATTTCACCCCTAAACCCTAATTGTAAACATAACCCCTCAGCATTTTTCCTTGTGGGGACCGGCGTAATGTCCCCACTTGTCCAAGTATTCCTTGTTTTACTGTCCTTGTGAGGACTTCAAATCCCCACAAGGACAGTAAAACCAAAAACACACACACAGACCCCCCCCCCCCCCCACCCACCCTCCAGCCACCCCTGGGTAATAATCTAATTCCCAGCATTATCTCTCTGTCAGTATCAGTAAGGTTTTTGAAAAAGCCATCGCTCTCTCCGCCAGAGAGGAACCGTTTCTCCTCCAAATTAGTATTCTAGAGAAACCTGACAGGACTGATGTCCTTTATACACACGCACATCAGTAACATGGGGGTACGTACGGTTCTGTTGAGACCTGATCTCTTTTCTCTTTGGTAGGAACAAAGCTGTGTGGATTAGAGATGGGGTTGGGGACACACACACACACACACACACACACCAGTGTGCATTTCTCTTAGCAGTCGGTTGCTGCATTTCTCAACAGAGCTTTTTTCTTTTTACGTTGAATAACTAAGCTTTGCGGTGTGTGTGTGTGTGTGTGTGTGTGTGTGTACGGTGTGTGTGTGTGTGTGTGTGTGTGTACGGTGGCTAGATGTGATTTGTGGCCTAAGCAGACTAAAGCCTGGTCCGGATTATACTTGGCTAGATGTTAAACCTTTTTATACTGGTCTAGTGACACAATATGGAAAAGTGACCACCCCTGGAGAGGGATTTAAACAGGTCTAGACAAAGAGAGAGAGAGAGAGGAGGGGGGGGAGATGCAGAGAGAGAGAAGAGCAACACAGTGAGAGATGGGAAGATGGGACAACTACAAATACCTAAGTGTCTGATTAGACCGTAAAATCTCCTTCCAGACTCACATTAAGTCAACTGGCTTACCTGGTTAAATAAAGGTGAAATAAAAAATGGAAAAAAATAAAAAGAGGTGAGGAGAGTGGGGTTAAAGAAGGATGAAAAACATCTCTTGAATTGCTTTTGTCTCAGATATCCTGTCAAACACACACACACACACACTAGGGCTTGGTAATATGGTCTACACATCATGTCTCAAATGTGTTTTCAAATGTATGGGGGATTTACAATATAGATTCTTTAAATGTTCTCTAAATAAGCTTTTTGTACAATTTTAAAGCTAAATTACTCTGCATTTCAAACAGTCAGCAGTAATCTAATAAATTCAGGGCTTGTGAAATTATACCAAGGCTAAATATAAGCCTTCCACAGCCATAAGACCCACTCATAATTTAGTTATTTTATCGAAATTATTTAACCAGCTTTTTTTTTGCAATAATCACTGATCTACCATTATAGAAAATGATCACAGGTCTCCTAAACAATCTCTCAAGCCCAAGGCCATGTGCTAGTGAGTAGCCAGCTGATCTTTTATATTTAACATGTAGCCAACTTGGATCTATTCGCTAACAAGGCAGAACAGTTGAGTTGTTATGAACACACCCTTCTGTCCGTCTCCAACTGTTGTAACAGCATGCTAGCCTGTCCACTTTGTTCAGATGTTGAAATCAAGTGGCCTATCTTATTTCTCAGAATGAGAACAAATTGCCAATTCCTTATGTAATTGTGTTTTATGCTTATTGCACATTTATAAAACACAGAATAGACAGCTAGTATAACATTCTTTGGCCAAAATGCTGCTAGCGGTACGTGTTACCGCAATGCCGCTTGCAACCAACTGAGCGTTCATTTTCCAAATCAACGTTCATTGATGGCTCTCTTTTTTACTAGTGTCTGCTATTTGAGTCTCAATGTGTTTCCATATGACCAATTCTATTGGACCACACCTCAAATGCGAGTTGAAAGTGCTTGTCAGAAAGGAAGAAGTGATCTCTCATCTTTGTTGTTGTAAGTGACAAGGAAGGTGTGTGTAAATGGGAAGGTGTGTGTGTTAATGGGAAGGTGCTCATGTCTCCACTCTAACAATGGAAGTTGTTGTCCCAAAGGTGGGAAAGCAGGTGACAAGCTTAGGTCCAAAATAAGGACATTTTAAATGTACTGGGCTTATTTTGGACAGGTTCTGTCATGTGAAACCTCTCGCTTCCTCTCTGACAGCACAGAAGGAGCGAAGGAGAAGAGACCAAGCAGACAGTAAATGCTCATAAGAAATACAATAACTTGATTCTTGCGATACAGGCATTGCGCAATAACAATTAGAATGAATTAGATCTATGGCCCAGCACTAAAACGCAGTACATCTGTCTGCCTGTCTGCCTGTCTGCCTGCCTGCTCAGCCTTTTGATCACTGAAAGATGGGAGCATCTCTTTCTGCAGCAAGGCTTAGTGTGCATTGATTGGCTGGAGGGGAGACGACAAGGAGATGACGGGATACGTGTGTGTGTGTGTGTGTGTGCCAGCGCATGCGTTCTCTAGTCTGACGGAAGGGTGGAAAGGGGATACTATTTGTATGGCAGGCAGCTGGGGTGGACAGGCAGTTACTCACACTGAGAGGCGACCTGTGCGATCGATCAGGGCTTTGAGTAGCTCTTCTCCAGCCAGGCTCCCTGCAGCTCTGAAGGATATTCTCTACACACACTCCAGCTCATAGATCCACACTGGAGATCTCTCACACACTCACTCACACACACACACACACAGTCCTGCTCTGCTATAGGCGATCCTGAAACACACTCTACACACACCACACATTGTGCGCGCAGAGGCAAACACACACACACACACACACTCACATCACCTTTGTCCTCAGTCTTTGCGGGCTAAGCTAACGTCTCCACTGCAGAAAGGACCCACTGTTGTAGTCTGCCATGCCACAGTGTCTCTCTGTCTGCTCAGCCTTCCTTCCCCGTCTCCTCTCCAACATGGCTGCCTCCTGTGAATAAACGAGACAGTTAATCGTCTAAGGGAGGCAGGGGAGCGGTGGTGGTGCAGTGGAAGGTCTTCATTATATTATATTATGACGATGTAGGGGTTTAATGGTACACCTGTTCGTGCAGGGACCTCTGTTCGGTCCGCACTGTGAACCCAAATGAATACATAAAACAATTATTTACAAAAATACAACACTAGGGCTATGCCTCTTGAGTAAATCTGAGCTGGGGAAAAAAAAAAAAACATTTCAGGCTATTCCGTTAAAACAATCAAAATTCTCATTCTTAATTGGCACATTTCAAACTGTCCTTTTGTGAGGCGCAGCCAGTATCTAGTTCTGTACGATGGCGGGTGGTGGGGTCGATTTAAACCAGGAGGATTCTCCATCATTGTTTAAATCTCCAGTTTGAGAACATTTCGGCTTCCCAGTACATTACAACGGCGATGGACAGAGAGAGTATGGTCGCCACTGTTCAACGAGAATAGCCTATGCAGCTGCCCACATCTCAAACATGTTGACACATTTACGCCGACATCACCCCAGAATGACGCCGACATCACCCCAGAATGACGCCGACATCACCCCAGAATGACGCCGACATCACCCCAGAATGACGCCGACATCACCCCAGAATGACGCCGACATCACCCCAGAATGACGCCGACATCACCCCAGAATGACACCGACATCACCCCAGAATGACGCCGACATCACCCCAGAATGACGCCGACATCACCCCAGAATGACGCCGACATCACCCCAGAATGACTACCACCGGAGCAAGATGGAAACACAAAACAACAACAACTTTGTCTCCCCTCTGCACTCAAGCAGCTGATTCAAGCAGCCCTTCGCAGCTGATTCAAGCAGCCCTTCGCAGCTAATTCAAGCAGCCCTTCGCAGCTGATTCAAGCAGCCCTTCGCAGCTGATTCAAGCAGCCCTTCGCAGCTGATTCAAGCAGCCCTTCGCAGCTGATTCAAGCAGCCCTTCGCAGCTGATTCAAGCAGCCCTTCGCAGCTGATTCTGACCCTGGCCAAAGAAATGACAAGAGCGTTAGGTATGTTTTATAGCCGCAGATATATGCACCCATTCTCGGTGGTTGAGAAGAACAAGGGGTTTTCAGCACCTCGTGAGAAAGTTCTCGAGCAACGCTACGAACTTCTCCCTCTCGCACCCATTTCAGCAAACCAGTAGCACGGCTCTCTATAAGCAAGCTAAAGCCAATGGATTTGCCAATGATCTCTGTGTTGCGCTTTATTACAGAAGGATGGACCTCCAGGACTACAGGGAGCTGCTGAACAGTGACAGCCCAGAGTGGGAGATGAGAAGTAATAATAAATAATATCCCATTTAGCAGACGCTTTTATCCAAAAGCCACTTACAGTCATGCGTGCATACATTTTTACGTATGGGTGGTCCCGGGGATCGAACCCACTACCCTGGCGTTACAAGCGCCGTGCTCTACCAATTGAGCTACAGAGGACCACTGTAGAAGTACTGTGTTAGACACAAACCCCTTTTGAGAGTCGCACAAGTGTGCATCTTTTTGTCTTTGTAAGAACATAATAGCATAGACCTATATCATGATTACATATTGATTTCACACGCGCTTCATTTTAGTGCTATTGTTGATGAGTAATCGTGTTTTTCCAAAGTGTTGTTATTTCTGATGGTGCTGTCATCAGGCATTGAGACTCATGATCATATATGGAGTCAGGAATATCAACACTTTGTATAAAATGAACAACAGTAACAGTTGGCATTTCATTTTTCAGATAAAAACCGAACCGTGACCCCAAAACAGCCAATACGTACGAACCGTGGGTTTGGTGAACCGTTACACCCCTGTGAGGATGCCTCTGTGTACTGTACTGTCATATGTTTCAACCAGTTGTGATGGTATCATTTGTAGAATACAGAGAGGATCCTTTAGGAGACAAGGGCTTCATCTCTGTCCCATGGAGGCTGGGGGTTGGGGAGGTTGGGAGGTTGGACAGCTGGCACCTCACTCTGCACAGCCACCTGAAAGCCTGGGGGGAGTGTGTGTGCATTGTCTGTAGTTTAAAAAAAAAAAATCATCAGAAGGGGCTCTATTTTGGTGGCGTCTGGTACATTCTAATGCCTTGAAATACACCGCTAAATTATTGAATGCTTTATGACTTTATCTCCCATGATTGGTAAAAATGAGTTTTGGTTTGGGGTGTAACGGCACAAAGATTTGTACATAACTGTTCGGTATGGGGGGGACCTCTGTTCGATCCGCACTGTGAACCTGAATGAATACCAAAAAAAAGATATATGTACTTAATAAAAACACTAGGCCTATTGGCTATTTCTCAGCTGCGTTGTAGTAGGCCTCTAAAGGAAATCTGAGCTGAAAAAAACATTTTCAGGCTGTTCCATTTAAACAACTAGAGCCTATGCACACATTGTAATCAAAATTTAAATCTTAACTGCCACATTTCAAACTGTCCTGTTTTATTTAGCTGCAGCTGGGAACAGTTTTGTACGATTGTGAGTGCTATCCGGGATCCTTGGGACGTTCCTACTCTAAACCCTACTCTAAGCCCTAACTTTAACCCCTAACCCATACCTAACAATTTCACATTTCAATTTCAGTGGTGTAGGGATGTCCCAAGGATGCCGGATAGCAAGGACCATCTGGCGCTGAAGGTGGCAGTGTCATGGTGCGTTCGTACGACCTAGGAAAAATCCACAGTAATATATATTTTAAGATGGCGTCGTCCAGGGTAGGGGAGGGAATGGCCGGCAGGGATGTAGCTCAGTTGGTAGAGCATGGCGTTTGCAACGCTAGGGTTGTGGGTTCGATTCCCACGGGGGGCCAGTATAAAAAAATAATAATGTATGCACTCACTAACTGTAAGTCGCTCTGGATAAGAGCGTCTGCTAAATGACTTAAATGTAAACGTAAGATGTGGATGGTCTCGAAGAGTAATGTACAGTTCCCTAGAAGAGTAGTTTCTAGAAGTTTGTTTCTGATCCTGACTAGTTTGAGGTAAGACAGGACCTCCTTATGATTAATCCTCCTAGCATATCCCCTCCGATACATATGCTGTTTATTCTTTGTCTCTGTTTCCAGTGAGGCTACGAGAGAGGACAGCCTCGGGGCCCTATAAATCAGTTATATTTTTTTGCCTGATTTAGTTTTGTTTTCCCCAAACATTTTGTTATCTCTGTTTTTGTTTTTCCAGGTTTCAATTCTTTCAGGTTTTCACTCTCAAAATCACACTTTACTAATAGAAAAACAACTAAATTGTATGTTCTAAGTCAACAACAATGCTTAAACCACATCAAGAGACCGCTTTTGAAGTCTGGGAAAAATGTAAGACGTTTTGTGTTTTGGGTGTAGTT